CTGATATGCCTGATGCGCCATTTAAGTGTAAAGGGACTTTACCTGTTGTAGTACTTCATCCCTGCTATAATACCAACAAGTACAAGATGGTCTCCCCTTGCCTTCTCTGCATCTTTGCCTCTGCGGCGATCGCGTTGTCATGACGAAGTTGTTTCCCCTCTTGCCCATGACGGAGCTGAAGAATGTGAGTTGTTTTGAGTTTCGTTACTTGTAATGAGTTCTTTGAGTGGGATATTTCTGTCAAAATATCTATACTGCTTTTATTTCTATCATGTGTTCTAATTATAGTTCTAGAAAAACTACATAGCAAGAGCTTCAATTTAATTTTGTTTAATAAGTTTGATCCTTTGGTAACACCTTTCAGTCATCCCCATGGGGGGATGGAATTTTTTTTTTGAACCCCTTCCTTGCTCTTTCCAGGGGCCGCAATATACCCCGACCATAAATATAGTGTAAAGGCTGAACACGGTCTCCGGGACCTCTCCACATGTGATCCTCATCCACATGATGGCACTTTGTGTCATCGGGTGTTTATAACTTGTGTGATGTCCTAGTGGGGTAACATTTACTACTACTACTTTTGATCCGGCGTATCAAAGATGACTCCCTAAACAATGGATTAAACCCTTTCAAAGTCCAATATGCCTGGAATTACCCTAACATGTGTCCCATAAAAAAAGGGTGTTGTTGATACTGAAAGAGCAAGTAAATGGGTTGGGTCTGACATACTTGCAGATGGCAAGCCTATGGATCACGTCAGCATTGTTGATGCCTTGAGAGAGAGAGAGAGAGAGAGAGAGAGGAGAGAGAGAGAGAGAGAGAGAGAGAGAGAGAGAGAGAGAGAGAGAGAGAGAGAGAACGAACGAACGAACGAACTTTATTTTCAAAGGGTCACAAATTGGGCACGCAGACCCGTCTTACATTCGGCCCTTCCAGTCAACCATCTTTCGCACAGCAGTTGTATTTTTACTAAGAAAGCATGTTATGATCATATGATAATATGCATATTATGAATATTATAAAAGAACACAAAAGCATGAGTTGTAAAGTGCATGCAAAAAACCCGCGCGTGCATACATACACCCACATACACACGATCACCCACTCACACACTCATACATGCATGCAAACATTACATACATACATACAAACAAACATGCAAACAGGCATACACACAGGCATACATACATACATACAAACAAACATACATAGATACAAACATACAGGCATACATTCGTAATACAGGCATACACACATACAAACATACAGTCATAAATACAGTCATGCATGGAGACACTCCCACAAAGACACAAACGCTCACTTAGACAAAAATACAAACACACACACAGACTCTTACATATAAACACACACAGGAAAACACACAGCACACATATTTACATTCGTGCTCACACACTTACACACACACCACACACACACACACGCAGACAAACATGCAGACACATACATACAGCCACATAGACACACACGCAGTCAAACACACACACACACACACAAATACAAACAGGCAGACAAACACAATCTGACACCCACACAGACAAACACGCAGAAATGCATACACATACAAACACATAGAAATACACACGCAGACACATATATTCAGCACGCACAGACATATACTCTGACATGCAGACACATACAGACAACAAAGGGGCACACACAACACACACAGAGAAACACACATAGACATGCACAGACAGACAGACACATGCTGACACATACACTCACGCAGACAGACATACAGACACCCACACACAGAGATACATACATACAGCCTCATAGACACACCCGCAGACAAAACACATAAACATACACAGGCAAACATGCAGAGAGAAAGAGAGAGAGAAAGAGAGAGAGAGAGAGAGAGAGAGAGTAGGGACCTTTAGGAGGGTACTAAAGACAGTGCGTCCGTATCGCTGCTAAGGATACAAGAATTGGGAGTAAAGACTGCCGTAGCAAGCCAGACACGAGAGTCACACCGGACGTACGAGGAGTCTTATTTGGCTTAGAACTGGCACTATTAGCCGCAATAAGCTATCATTTTACCAAATTCATCACTTTTTTTTTAAAGTCACGAATAATAAAATCATGGGGCGCCTGAATTAAAAAAAATAGAAAAAATCGATTTGCATTGTCGAAAGTATAAGTCATTATCTGTATTCGCGTGATTAAAGTGTTGAATATGCATACAATAAGAAAAAATTGTGTATATAATTTTCAAGGAAGTCCGTCGTTTTTATTTTGCTTGATATAATCTTCTAGATGAAATTCCTACACAGATGTATTTTTTCTCTAGTTCTTAATAAACTATATACGAACCTTTCTGTGATTTGATTTGATTTGATTTGATTCAAGAACCGACATCACAGCACTCAGGGCATTTCCATAAGCGCTCCGTCTCCATCTTCAGCAGCCAGCGAAGAGTTCCGATACTAATGGTGCCAGTAGCATTCTGATTAAACGTCCGTCTTGCCTTTCCTCTGAGCCTCTAACATCTTCCAGAACCTCTCGTCACTCCCTACTGCATCAATCTCACCAGACTGTGGTGATCCATCTGCTCCTCTGAACTGTACATGCTCTCCCACAAAGCACTAACCACGTCTGCCTTATTATGCATCAGTATTCCACCAAGTTGTGCAGATCCAGCCAGTCTGTCCGCCAGTTCATGTCCAAACACACCGGCGTACCTTGGTAATAAAATCCAGACAGTACTCCTCACCCGTGTCCTCCTTTCTGTTTAGTGCATTATTAATTACTAACTGGGCTTTATGTTTTTTTTCTTCATTTTATTCGATTGTCATTTCTACCTAGGTATTGCTTTAGTGTGTTTTCACCGTGATGGTGATTTCCAAGAAAAGAATAGTAACTAAATGTGTAATAAAAGTCAAAGGCGTTATTTTAGAACAAGCACAGACATTCAAGTATCTAAGCACATGGATAACATCCGCTGGAAAATTTATCATAGAAATTTAAAAAAAAAAAAAAAAAAAAAATAGAATAGGGCAGACAAGAACTGCATTTTACAAAACGAAGAACATTTTGTGCAATACATCCATGTCAGTAGAGGTTAGGAAAGAAATTATGTTATGCTATATAGTTTTATACAGTTTGATCATACGGCTATGAAGCATGGACAATTAATAAACAAGCCGAACAATCTCATGAGACCTCGGATATGTGGTTTTACAGAAGAATCCTTAGAATTCCTTGGACAACAAAATGTTTTGAAACAGGCGAATGCTCGAAGACAACTTTTCACAAACTTCAGAAAGAGACGGTTTTATTTTTTGTTCATGTTATGAGAAGAGGGCAAATTGTATATGTGTGACCACAGGAAAGATCTGTGAACAGAGACTGAGAAAGACAACGTAAGGAGATTCTTGACACTCTTTTGTCATTGAGGGGTCTCAACACACGAACTGATACACGCATTTGCGGATCGCAGATTGTGGAGAGGCATGGTCGCTCATGCCAGTCGGCAAGGTACTTGATGATAACGATTGTATTATTAAAACAGCCACCCAAAGTATTGCGACGACAAGGGTAAAACGACAGCTATAATTTTTTTTTTCGAATATCTTGGCTTGTTTTTATTTATGATAATTTTGTAACACCCGCTTTCAATGTTTCGGGTTTCCCCACGTTTGTAATGATGTTGAAATGATCTTTCCAATTGATAAATTCAGCGCGGAACGGATAGAACTCGTGGTGTCCAGAAAGTCGGCATTCAGTCGTGACCTTGGGGCACATCTGTTGCAGATAAAGAGGAGTGGTGTTTCCCTTTTTTTTTTTTTTTCCTATTTGGATATCAGGCGGGTAGACTCCTCTGTTGTGATCACTCCAGAACCCGAACGATTTCTGTCCCCTGTTGTGGTCTGTATTTTACAAGAGATTAAGAAAATCTATTTCCTGGCATATTTCGCTGTTTTTCTGGTGAGTTACTAGTGTAAACATCGATTAACATAAACCACTTCACATAGTACTGTTTAGTGTGTTATGTATCTACTTTTTCTTAGTGTGGTTGTGAACAGCGTGTTCTATATCTAATTTCTAGTTTGAGTATGTAATACTAGTGGAAGTCATTCAGTCCAGGCAACTGCATTACCACATTTTTCACAAGCAGCCAGAAGAAAATGGTTCCCTGTTCTATGTAACGACATAATCTCTGTGCTTTACAACAGATGTACTACACCGATCCACAAAATTTGTGGATGCCCGCCGGGTTGAAGCTTTTGAGTGTGGCCAGCAAGCAAGCTCACACCATCAACATGACCTCTCTGACCCCGCAAACCTTCTTTCAGTGCGCCAAACAAGTCAAGTCTAGTTGTGATTCATATGAAATTTTTCAGCCATTTCATAAATAGTAACTCGTCTGTTGTCGCTGATTCGCTGCTCTCTCTCTCTCTCTCTCTCTCTCTCTCTCTCTCTCTCTCTCTCTCTCTCTCTCTCTCTCTTATGTTTTCTGACTCAACTGCCGCGCTAACACATATAATACTCCTTTATCCCTTTCGTTTTTAAATCTTTCCACCCATTCAAACAATATCCTCTGACACAAACAACTATATCCGCATTGAGTCTTCATTCTTCGACAGATTTTAGATGGTTTAATACCCTCTGCCATCATAAAACGTAAAAACACCTCGTTGGCCTTTCACAGTGCATGTTAACAGTGCTGCGGCCATCTTGTACCAGCTGTTGCGCAGGCGCATACTTCTGAATAGTCGTGACACGTACTTTTGGTATTGCTAGGAGGCCATTCTCTCTCTGTTGCATGCACACTAGGATACAATTTTCTTTGCTTAACGACTTCCCCTCGTATCTACTATTCTTACGCATTTTTGTTTCATGGCCATGAAAGGAGGATTTAACCACGACCTTTTATTACTGTAGGCAGGCACTTTATTTTCTCGGCTGAGAACAATCTCAGATAAGAGCCATATTTTCCCCCCATCTCTATAGGTGAAGATTCAAACACAACCATCATGGCGCCGAAAAGAGTGGCCATCATTGGAGCAGGAGCCAGCGGGCTGCCGGCCATTAAAACCTGCCTGGACGAAGGTCTGACCCCTGTCTGCTTTGAGAGGACGGATGGTTTAGGTGGCCTGTGGCGTTACACAGATGAACCTATTGAAGGTCAGGGATGTGTGATGAAGTCCACGGTGATCAACACCAGCAAGGAGATGATGTCTTACAGCGACTTCCCTATACCCGACAAGTACCCCATCTACATGCATAACACCCAGGTAGGGCTTACTTACAGTCTGTGTCTACATGCATCACACCCAGGTAGGGCTTACTTACAGTCTGTGTCTACATGCACAACACCCAGGTAGGGCTTACTTACAGTCTGTGTCTACATGCATAACACCCAGGTAGGGCTTACTTACAGTCTGTGTCTACATGCATAACACCCAGGTAGGGCTTACTTACAGTCTGTGTCTGTGTTATGTCTGTTTGTCAGTATTTTTTCGCCTGTTTAAGTAACTTTTTTGTTGTAAATCTGTTTGCCTGTGAATTTACCTTATTTGTCCCTCTTGCAGATTGCGACGTCTGAGTCAAGTGTAAAGTACAAACAGCGGAAAACTCTTTCATATGGCTAGTATTCACACACACAAACATACACACACAACACACACACACACTCACACACACACATAGACGCACACTCACTCACACACAACACACACAACACACACACACCACACACACACTCACTCTCACACACACACACCACACACACACACACCACACACACACACACCACACACACACACACACTCACTTACACACACACACACACACACACACACACACACACACACACACACTCACACACACCACACACACACACACACACACACACATTCACACACATACACACACACGACACACACACACGCAACACACACCAACACACACACACGACAATCTTACAGAATCCTCAAAATGGTCATGAATCTAAAACAATGACACCAAAATGTCTACAAACAAATCAGATTCCAGATTAGTAGACGTGTTTTTGTATTAAAGTCCGGCGGCTATGTCTTATTCGTTGCAAATCCACACTAAATAAACACAACTCAACATTTCAGTAGTCTAGTATTTAATCTTGTCCCTCTAGGTCTACGAACACTTCAAGCCCAACGCTTCACATTTCAGCAGTCTTGTATTTTATCTTTTCCATTTAGGTCTACGAACACTTCAAGTTGTATGCTTCACATTTCAGTAGTCTAGTATTTTATCTTGTCCCTATAAGTCTACGAATACTTCAAGCGCAACGCTTCACATTTCAGTAGTCTAGTGAGTGAGTGAGTGACTTTCTACCCCACTAGGACATCACACAAGCGATAAACACCCAAAGACACAACGTGCCACCATGTGGATGAGGATCACCGTGGAGAGGTCCCAGAAACAGCGTTCAGACATTTGGCCATTTTTATGACCTGCCTATATTGCGGCCCCTGGCAAAGGCCAGAGTGGGGCTTCAAATAACAAAAAATTACGTCCTGAAAAGGACGTAAGGACTTAGAGCTATAGTTAGTAGTCTAGTATTTTATCTTGTCCCTTTAAGTCTACGAATACTTCAAGCGCAACGCTTCACAATTCAGCAGTCTAGTATTTAATCTTGCCCCTCTAGGTCTACGAATACTTCAAGATGTATGCTTCACATTTCGGCCTGGAGAAGTACATCAATTACAACACGGAGGTTCTGCACGTCAGACGAAGCCAGAACTTTGAGCTCAGTGGACAATGGGAGGTAATTCATCGCAACAAGCAGACGGGGGAAGAGACCAGGGAAGTCTTTGATGCCGTTCTGGTGTGTACAGGGCATCACGCAGACAAACATGTGCCCACGTTTCCGGGCATCAGTGAATTCCAAGGAAAGGTATCTGTCTGTCTGTTTGTCCGGAATTGTCTTTCTCAGTCACTTTAAAGGTAACCTGGAGAGGATCTTCTCAAGTTCAACCTCTAAGGCTATTTTAGAAGGAGCGCACATTTGCCCTAGCTCTACAGATTACCAGATTTATTACAACTATTACGGTTTACTGTGGCTAGAAATGTGCACATTCCAGTGATTGTATTGAATATTTTGATGCTGTAGATAATGTTTACTGTTACTATAAGTATGAGTGAAATGATGTAAGAAAAGAGGAGGACTAGATGGATAGAGTGTTGGACGGTCTGCGTTCCCATTCTTAACTCTTTAAAAATAAAGTTCGTTCGTTCTCTCTCAACAGAACGGCTAGTCGCCTACGGAGAGCGTATCACAAAGCACGAACTTTAAAGCTCTAGCCATGATCCGCAAAGACTTCAGTAAAAACCGCATTTGTTAACCCGAATGGACCTCCAGCCTTTAGATTGCAAGGCAACGGGTTGAACACTTCTAGACAGAGCACAGCCAGTCGGATTCACTGAATAATTAATTAGCTTTTTAATGTCCTTCTTTCTGCAATTTATGTTTGTTTGTTGAATCTTGTGTACATGTAAATCTCTAACTTCTCTCTGTCTGCACTTTCTGTTTATTTGAAACAAGTGTATATCTTGAGATGGTTAATTTATTAAACCCTGTGTATTGTTGCGTACTGCCAGACACAACGCCCTGTATGTACATGTGTTTTTAGACGCAGAGATATTGTGGGCGTGGAGCCTGTAACAGCTAATTTACGATATATAATTCTCGATTCCACTTGTCAAAAGCACAAGACAGTTTCTGTCTATTTAAACAAACAATACAAATACTATGTGCTTATATGTGTATTACTTTCAACGGTAGCCCACGCTTTTATTAGTCGTTGTGAAATATTTTGGATCAAGTTTGTCAATATAATTATTCAGTTTTGTATGTGTGTTAAATTTTATGACTGTCTTATGCATTGATGTGCGGTAATTGTGTGATTCCTCCCGTGATCTGTACTATTTTTGCGTGGTCGTTTTGTGCCCATTTGAAGAAGAAAATTGATACTTCGATTACAGATATTGTTTTAGTTAAGAATTCTAACCCGACTATGTCGAAAACGAAGAATTGATATCTGTATGTGTCTGAAGTGAACTATTCATTTCTGCGTGTTAATGAAAAAAAATTAAAAAAAAAAAAAAAAAACGCATTTTACGAATTAGCTATTTAGAACACAAAACTAATAAATATATCCGATACCAAATTCAAAAATTTGCGGGACATCAGTAGCCTTTGTTTCTGTGGTGACTCGTCGCAAGCTAGCTTGGTTTTGGGCACGTGGTAAGACATGATTCGATTGGAAAGACCGTACATCAAGGAACATTCGGGGGTAGTCGAAGAAGAGGAGGGCAAAGAAGAAACTGCAATGACATCAAGAAATGGACAGGACTAAGTTATCATGCACTTATTCATCAAGCTGAAAACAGAGAAAGTTGGCAGCTTTTATGTGCTAGTGCTTCCATCAATACACATGACTCTAATGGGTCAAGGGTTATGTTATGTACGTTATGTTATGTGCATTTTGTTATGTTATGTATGTTATGTTATGTTAATGAAATGCAGAATTGATGCCTGTTGGTATATAAAGTGGAGGAATTATGCTTCTGTCTATTCACGTCCAGGTTCTCCACAGCCACGACTACAAGCGGCCAGACGGGTTTGAAGACAAGAGGATCCTGGTCATCGGGATAGGCAACTCCGGGGGCGATGTGGCCGTGGAACTCAGCAGGAAAGCTTCTCAGGTGAGACGTCCTTGTTAGGGCAGTGTTCTAGGGCTTGCACTTACCTTCATCTTTCTGTTGCAGGTTGTTATTTCTTCTAGCTCTTCGTATTCTCAGCCAACCTTCGTTGTGGAGACAGCACACATAAAAAAAAAAAAGATGTGAAACTGGCAACAAATGATCGACTGCTGTTCCAAGAGAAATAACAAATCACTGGCCGTCTGTGGCTACAACCCATAAAGTCAGGAGCAGGAATCGTTTGGCACTCTCACGAAACATATCCAGTGGAAAGGGGTATAATTAGAGTATTTTGCGCCTATAGTTTTAACACGCCCCCTCTAATCCACCTGATATGCCAAATATGTTAAAGCAAAATGTCACCTCCCTGGGTCCAGGACCTCCAAGGTCCTTCCTGTACCCTCTGACGCAAGTGGTCAAAACATTGATGGTTGATAATGATTTGGAAGAACCTACTCATACGCATTATTGCATGCAGTATTCAGGAACACGTGTGATGTATTTTTTAAATAGTTACCAAAAATCTGTAGTTTAATTTGTGCACAAACTTACTTAATAAAAGTTGACAACACAGACCTAACCCTCTGACTTTCACACAAACGGGAATTCCTGTTGACCTGCTTGGCCTATAAAAAGCTGGAGCTGGCCGTGGCTTGCGATAGCACCCACCCCCTTTCTCCCTTCCCGTATTTCGGCACCATGTGATGTGTGTCTACGCATTTGTCTGAGGATATAACCTTGAAATTAGAGGTTGAATGTAAAATTAACCGTGTCGTGTTGATAGAGCGATGTCCCCCAAATGAAAAGCAGATTGC